ACGGATTGAGTTCTGAGAAGACAATTGTATCTATTAATTAGGATATTTGATGTAATTTCCTTAGAGATAAGCTTGGGCAAAAGTCTGCCGCAAAGACTTATGGTATTTTAGAGTTTGTTAGAGATAAGAGTCGTGTCCGACATGGACATATTTTGTAATCTCAGGTATAAATAGACCCCTAACCTCATGTAATAATTTAACACACGTTTAATAACAATCTCAGCGCTTCGCCACCCTTTTCTTTCGTTTTGTTTTCGACGAGTTCTTGCTTTCGGGTTGAGCTGCATCGGTTTCGATCTTCAACTAGAAGTAAAACTTGTTATGGTGGCTTGCGTTCTCGGGATTAGTGCTTCCATCTTTATGACACTCTAACCTTGTGTATGTAAGTTGTCGAGTTATCATATATCCTATATAATCTCTGACAATATTGTTATTTAACCTTCAGTTGGCTAACATCTATCACTAGAAGGCAGCCGATCAGGTTAAATACCAACGTTGACTTAGATTATATAGGGTATCCACCACCCTATGAAACATCCAACGACTTGATTGTCTAAATATTGTCTTTCTTTTCATACTTATAGCTGCATCAGTTGAGTTTGACCCTATAAGTCGTGATTAGAATATCAATCTCTAGCCTGTCTTTGGTTGCCGATTAGGGTAGTATCGGGGTTTCAACCGATCTTACCTGATTTAGCCTTATATTTTATGTGCTTAATTGATATGCTAGATCCGCCCTTTATATTGAGATCTTCTTGCTTTCAGGTATATTAAGCTTCTCGTTTGATATATTTTGCTTGCTTTAATATCTTAACATAGAGTGGTATCGGAGTATTAGCCGATACATGCTAGATCTATCTAATCGGCTATGCTATGAGCGCTTATAATCTCATTGTTAATATATATTTCGATCTAAGTGATTTATACTGTCTCGGCATAACGATCGATCTATCCCAATCACTTGACTTAAATATATATCAACATAGGGATTATGTACCATTAATATCTACAGCCGATTGAATAGATTTAGTTCTTTCTTATTTATTCATGACTGCCGATCGATGCAAAGATGACATCGGCTCAAGGATAAATGATATGTCATTGGCGACTGACCGATCGGCTATCGTTTATGGATTTAAGTGATATTTTCCTGTATTTGTTTCTTGTTGATTGCAGGATCAAATCAACCGGCACGCTCACAAACCTCAAAGACAAGATTTTTGGACCTTCACTAAAGTTAAGCAGATCTCCCAGGCCTCGTGTTTTTCGCATCAACAGAATCACATGAGTTAGTCAAAGTATACTTTTTCCTACAAAACAATCTCCTCGGTTTAATTCAGCCGGATCAGGATAGCCGAGCACGTGAGGCCCATGTAGATTTGGGCCGATACTGATTTTGATTGCGGATAGTACGTACACGACCGGGCTGACTTTCGTGGTGGGCTGCGACTGCCAGAAAAGAACTGATATTGCCAACGTCGAGCTCTTGGGCAGTTGTGCCGAATGTGATGCCGAAGACTTGCACCGAGCGGCACGTCGCCGGCAACTCCTGCTAGCTACTGGTTGATCACCGATGGCCACTAGTAGCTGCTTCAGTTGGTTTCTCTATTATGCACGCCTGCTTTCCTCTAGCTCCGCGTTCAGATCTACTTCAAGACTCTCGAGACTTGGGAGAGAGATCATCATTTCCTTGTATTGGAGGTGGCAGTGACACTGAGAGTGAATCCTTTGTAAATTGGAACCTCACATTAGTTATTCTTATCTTCAGTGCGTTCAGGCTTGCAAATATTTCCACGCGTTGCGGTGACACTGAGAGTGAAACCTTTGGAAATTGAAACCTCTTTATCAGTTTGGAAATTAGAACCTCTTTATCAGTTGTACTGATCGTCAGCGCTAGTACTAGCTTCGTGTTGAATCCAGCAATGCCCTTTACTGAAGGTGCCCTCTTAGGAGTTTTTCACTTACTAGCTACTCCCCGAATTTTTTTTATCTAAACACATGCAAACCACCAATTACAAATGTGAGCACGCAATAATCACATTTAATTATTTAGACAAGATGCTCATATGCAGCGATATGTTTCCATCGAACGAGTAGCCCAACAAACTATTGGGCCGTATTGGGCTGCTGAATTGATCACGTTAGCCCAACAACCCACCTCTAAAATTGGTTAGTTGCATCATTATGGGGAGTTTTCTCCATTGTTCAAATCATTCATCCGGTAGTATATCAAAATCATAGGGTTTAGGGTTGCATACGGCGAGTTTTATTCATTGTTCAAATCACAAAGAAAATACAAACAATGCGGTATTGTACTACTAAATTCTCAATACTAGCGATTCATATTAGTCGATCAATTGTTTGCTGCATGCTAGTTTGCTCAATCCCATGTGCTCAGAATTGATGAATTTTAGTTACACTATATCCACGCTAACACTGTTATTGCCAAAGGTTATCCTAGATGGTTTATATATACGCACACCATCATCGTGTTAAGGCTACCGTCATGGCACTGAGCCAAAGCTAACCGAATAAGAAATGAGGGAGGTGTAATAGACTACCGGGCCAACCGGATTTACGGTGGTGACATGGGCAGGTTGATTAGAAGTAGAATTCTAACTTTTGCGTGCTCAGATTTGTAATTAGTGGTTTGCATGTGTTCAGATAAAAAAAATTCGGAGCTACCCCTCTGTTCCACTTCTAAAATTTAAATTTTATCCTAAGTATAACAACTTATCTCTACTGTTATAAAAATTAAAGATGTTTTTGCCGATATTTTGGTACGTCATCCGTATTTGAGTCGGTTTTTAAGTTCGTTCGCTTTTGCAAATACAGCTCCGTGTTTGAGTTGGATTTTAAGCTTCTTTCCTTTTAAAAGTATAAAAGGAGCTGTATAAGAAATCTTTTGAAGAAAAAAATTCGCATGTTAACATGAGATGAAAAGCTCATGATTTACTAAAAAAAAATATCCAAGCGAATTCCCACAGTAACTTTTACCTTAGCTAAACCGTATAACAATAATAAAATTAAAATATTTACATGTTGCAACACGCAAACATTTTTTTTCTAGCTAAACAGTATAAATAAAATTAAAATAGCATAGGGCATTTTTTCTAGTAACTTGTAAAATATGACTTTAACACTACATCTTATTATTGTTTATCTTATAAATTGGCATGAACTCCATGTCCTTTGCGAAGGTTCTTCGAAAACAAAATTATCTTGATCAACAATATCAGAATTTACAAGCTTTTCGAGAGCCTGCCCTGTTATTGGACAAAATTAAAAGTCTGCACGTTTCTTCGATTCAAACTGTCATGGATTGGTCCTGTTCATATCTTATACTATGTCACTTTACATTATATTTCAAGCGCAAACATGCATGTTTGGAGAAGCATTCAATATTCTGGATTCACAACACGAACACGAGAGGCAACACCGCTGCCGACTCCCTCCTCCCCCTCCTTTCCCTGGCTCGCCGCCGCCTGAGCAGGCGCCGGCAAAGCCGCGCGGCCGCAAGGACGGCGGTGGCGGGGCTTTGCCCAGCATGCACCCGGACGGCCGGGGGAGCTGCCTGGGCAGCGGCGGTGGCAACCATCTAGATCTGCGTCGTTCCGGCCGGATCTGACGGGGTGGCGGCTGGCGGCGGGGCTGAGTGATGGAGGTGGCAACTGGCGGTCGGTTGCGGTGGCGACGGCGCCCGTTGGTGGCGGCGGAGCACACACCCAGATCGGGCTGCCGCTTTGGCTGGATCTAGCGGGGTTGGCGGCTGGCGATGGCGATGGGGTTTGAGTGGGTGGTGATGGCGACAGCGGCTGCTGGCAGCGGTGGGAGCGAGGTCGGCTGGAGCTGCACCGACGTACGGGAGGAGATGGGATGTGGCCGGTGCACGGGAGGAGATGGGACGCGGTGGACCGGCGCGTCGACGATGGTGACAACTAGAGAGGAGGCGGGGAACGAGACTGGCAACGGGGAAGGAGGATAGCGGCGGCCGCGTGCGGGCGTGGCATCGGTGGTGGTGGGTTGTGGGCAACAACGACGGCGTGAGCAGTCGTTGTTGGACTGCGGTTGGAGACGTGGCTAGCCGGTCGGTATGAGGTGTGGGTGGCGGCGACGGAGCGTGGTCAGAGGCCGGCACAGCTCGTTGAGGCACGACCAATAGGAACGGAGGCCGGCGCGGCGCGATGAGGCGCGGTCGGAGGGCGGCGGAGGCTAGTGTGGCATGCGGAGGCTGACCAACAGGGGGCGCTGATGCAGCAGTGCCCATGCGTCGGCGGAGGCTTGATGGTGGTGGAGCATCGGGGTGTCATCTATAGACTCGTAGGCAGCGGGCGAAAACCTAGCCCGGCCTTGGCCGTGCCGGCAACGACGGTGTTTTCGAATGTCTCTACCCCTCTTGAGGGCAATGTCGTGCCACCCCTTCACCTCCAGTGGGGCTGCCGGGTGAAAACTCAGCCTCGACTTTATTTGAGACCTTGACGGACGACGGTGGCTGTGTATCCGTCGCTCCTCTCCTTGGAGACACCGTCTAGGTAGCCCCTTGCCGAATCCTTCCAGACAACTGGTGCAAGCTTGCTCTAGATGCATGTCCCCTTCGTCGGCGCTCTAGCTTATGCAAGGTAGCCACGTCGGAGGGCCTAGGGGGGAGAACGGTTCCATCCTTCTCTCTCATAATCCCAAAGAGGTGGCTAGAGTGGGGCCTGGTGTCGGTTATTAGGGTTAAGTTTTGAACGTTCTCGGATGTAGTTTCTTTGTTGGCTTAGCGGTGACCGGTCACGCATAGCGGCGGTCGGTTCGGTGCTAGCTTTCTCCTAGGTATGTTGAGTTGGAGCTATCGGTGCGTGGGTGGGGGTTATTTTTCATTTTTTTTCCTGGTTACGACTTCCCAGGGTTATAATCTTGGATTTTTTTTCCTGCTCAATCAAAAAAACTTCGCACTGTCTGGTGCGAGTCATTAAAAAAAAAAACTCTGGATTCACCAGTGCGGCAGTGCTACAAACTGATCAATAACATTCGTCAGACATATCTCTGTTTTACATAAATTAAGCAACATTAATCTCTGCACAACATTGAGAAACAGCCATCTTTAATTTATTTCACATAAATAGAACAACATTAACTTCTCTCTTTTTTTTTCATACATTAAGCATGCTCATCTTTATCAAGAACTAAGCTGTATCGATTTATTCAAAGCGACAGTAGTACTAGTAGTAGTAGCAGCAGCGACGTGGTACAATATATTCCACCAAAAGAACGCTGCTACTACGCAATAGCCTAACGTGTGCCTGACTTCTGAGACAAGGTTGCCCATGTAACAACAACAAACACATACACTTTGTCATACACCTTGTCGAAGAGGCGGAAGTAAGCAATCCTCCATGTTTTCTTGAACAAGATGGTACAGAAAACCACCCAAAGACCAGCCACAAATCCTGAACCAAGTCCAGAGTACAAGAACATTGGCTCAGAATCTCTTTCCCTTCTCTGTTCAACACCATGCTTTGATGCACTGCTGTTGTCTGAGCAATTTCTCCGAAGAGGATACCCACAAAGACCAGTGTTTCCATTGTACATAGACGGGTTTTCCGCATAGAGGGTGTCGAGTTGACCCCCTGATGGTATTCTTCCTGTGAGATGGTTGTATGACAAGTCTAGCCTGCTTAGAGATGTTATGTTTGATAGGTTTGATGGGATTTCTCCAGAAAGATTGTTTTTTGAGAGATCTAGTGATTCCAATGATTGCATGACACTAATGTTGCCTGGAATTCTTCCACTAAGCTGATTCCATGATAAATTCAAATTTTTAATGCCATCGAGAAGAGTTAGCTCCTCCGGAATTTCACCAGTTAAGTAGTTCAAAGACAAATCAATGGTCACGATATCTAATACTATGGGTAGTTTGTAGTAAAGTTTTTGGCCCTTGGTGTCCACAGACATATTTGCAATGCCAACATTGCGACCATAACGACCAGAAATTGAGTAACGATCGAAGACCATTACGATATCACAATGACCACTTTTCTTCATACATATTAAATTGGACAAATGCAAAGGTAAAACACCCGAAATAGAATTATTTGATAGATCTAGTTGAACAAGCCTTGTAAGGTTGGTAATGCTTGTTGGAATATTTCCAGAGAAATTGTTATTGCTTAGTCGTACTATTGCTAGATTCGACAGCTCTCCAATCCAGATGGGCAATCCTCCATAGAAGTCATTTGATGCCAAATCCAGCATCTCTAGATTATGTCTACTACGCAAAAATGGCGGGAACTTTCCGGACAAAATATTGTTGCTGACAAATAGCTTACTCAAAAACACTGGCTGGAAACATCGAGGAAATTCCCCCTCCAAAAGATTGTCCGCTAAATCTAAGTAAACAAGGTGATGCAAATCACACATAGAGTTTGGAATATGGCCAGTGATACGATTGGAGAAGAGATGCAGATAAGATAAGACAAGGTCATCTCCAAAGTTCGATGGCAGAGGTCCTGATAAAGAGTTCCTTGAGATGTCCATTATTTCAAGTGCTTTTGGCAACAAAGGTATTTGACCGGTAAGCTTGTTTGATCCCATATATAGTCTAGATAATGTAGTCATAACCTCCATGTTCGCTGGCAAGCTACCATTGATTTCGTTGTTGGAAACATCTAAAAGTTGAGCATTCAAAAATGTTGTAGAAAACCAGTTTGGAAGCCTATCAGTAATACCCGCAAATGACATATTAAGATAAGTAATATTAACCTGTTGTTTCAGCCAACCGGGAAAGCGAGGGCCCATATGGCAAGGTGAAAACAATGCAACCTCAAGACTAAATAGAGGTAACCATTCTGAATCCACCAAAATCTTCAAGGAATTACCGGATAAGTCCAATGTCTTCAAACTTCTCATACTAGTAAAGTGTTCATCTATGATCACTCCGTTGAGGTTGTTACTGCTAAGGTCCAAGTAAGTTAAATTACTGAACATGCCTATCTGAGGAGGCAAGGGTCCAGAGAGTTTGTTATGAGAGATGTCAAGAATGACCAAGCTAGTTAAGTGATCCAGACGATTTGGTAGAATTCCTGATATATTATTGTCTGACAAATATAGTTCATTCAATCTGTTGTACGAGCACCGCGGTAATCTCTGTAGCAACTTTGCAATGTCCCCATGAATTTGACTCCGTTCGAGATGTATGATTCTCAAGTTGCATAGATTTGTTAGGTTTGTTGTCACGATGTCTATGTTACATGTGGATGACAAGTCAAGAAATCGTAGGGATCCAAATTGTCCTGGAACGTTTGGAAACTGGCCATAGAGTTTGGTCGACCCAAGGTTAAGGTACTTGAGTCCTTGTGCATTCCAGAACCAACAGGATGCAATTGGATGGTTGAAATAGTTGACAGAGAGATCAAGCTCCTCAAGATTGGTCAGGTTAAAGTGTGAAAAAGATTGATCCGCATAAACAAGGTTGCAGTAAGCAAGATGAAGGACCTTGAGAGAAGGAATGTTGTTCATCACATCGGCCCAATCATGTACCATGCTGAGGCTCGTATGGCTCATGTCGAGGTGCGTTAGAGAATGCAGGCGCGCTAACCATTGGATATCCGTGAAGTTGATGCCTGTATCTGACAGGCCAAGATAGTGTAGATTTGTGAGGTTACCCAGCTGGGGAGGCACCTCACCGGAAAATGGTATGCCGGAGAGGTTAAGATATCTCAAGTTTTGCAGAGAGCCCAAGAACTCCGGAACACGGCCGGTCTGTCCCTGGAGCTGGTTCTTGCTGAGATCGATGTGCTCCAGATACGTCAAGTTGAGCAGAGAGGGACTTATCTCGCCGGCCAGGTCGTACCCGGAGGTGATGAAGTCGTAGTCGTTGCTCTGGTCGGCATACACGTTGCGGAGGTGAAGCCCGACGACATGGCCGCCGGCGCCGCACCGGACGCCTCGCCACCGGCAGCAATCGGCCTCCTCCTCCGCCTGCCCAGGCCCAGCGCCGTCGTACTTCCATGAGTCGAGGAGACCCATTATATCTTCGGTGATGCCTGCCTTGAACGTCAGCAGCGCGTCCCGCTCCCGCGGCGAGCAGCCGGCCGCCGTCGCCACGTTGCCGTGGGCGGGCGCCGGACGGCGTGTGGCGCCGCGTGGCAGCGCGGCCACCGCCGCCTCCACTTCATGGTTGGTCGTGGCCAAGGCGGCGACGGCGAGGACGCTGAGGATCAGGAGAGCGGCGGTGGTAGTGGGACGCATGGTGGATTGGTGGACTAGTAAGAACCGGGGGGGTCTGTATCTGAGTGTGCGAGTGTATCGTATACGTATCGTTGTTGTTTTTACTGTAGTCGACGGGTGCGTGTGTGCCGTGCCGTGCCGTGGCCGCCGGGACGCGCGTGGGCGTGGCCATGTATACGCTGCAAACAACAGTAGCGACGGGCCGTACAGGGACAGCTTCCGTTGGCCCATTGTAGTGAGGGCAGAACGTCACTGCCTGGATCGTGCGGCCCATTAGTATGGCCTACCAGAATCTGGATCTCCACCAATTAGAACCAGCCACGGAAGTCGCGCATTCGCGGAATTTTTTTTATTTTTAATTTTTTTTATTAAAAGTTTTACAAAAATAATTTTTCATTTTTGAAAATTGACAGAAGTGGTCGCCTACCGCCCTCTGGGAGGGTGATTTTTAAAAATCGCCATCCCAGAGGGCGGCGAAAGTGACGTGGCAGATGGCCGTTCGCTCTCAGGCGACGGCCGTCAACGAAATTTGCAGGCGACCCCCTTGCCGCCCTCCGCTAGGGCGATTTTGTACTGTGCGGGGGGCCGCCTGCAAATGGGCGGCGGGGGGCCTGGAATTTTGCAGGCGGCCCCCTTGCCGCCCTGGGGGAGGGCGATTTTATACTGTGCTTTATATTTTTTTATAAATATCAATAGTTATCAAATCTTTTTATATTGAAAACTATACAAGATTAAAATCTCCAAGACTGGTAAAATATAATTTTATTATTTTTTAGGGCCTATTTGGAATGTTACCGTACAAATTTTTGTTAGTGCCAAAATATAAGCAAGTTTTGGCACTACCAAATATTTGGTAAGGTAAAATTGCATTTGATCATATTTGGTTTGCTGCCAAAATGTAAAATTGTAGTGAAGAATGTTCTACATAATCTCAAATCTAGATTACGTATTACCAATGAATAGGCTTCAATCGAAATCAAACACAAGTACTATTCAAATTACCAAAATATTGGTAGGGCATGTTTTTGGTAGCAATCCAAATAGGCCCTTAGTCTTACGCATACAAAAAATCACCACCATAATTAAACATTGTAATGATAAGATAGATAAGAAGTGCCATCGATACACGGTACAAATTTGTCGATCCCGACGAATCAAGCATGCGGTAACCTATCGGCCCCTTCTAGGTCGGTCAGAATGCATTGCATTCTCGTGGTCCTTCAATCGTTGATACTCTACTTGTGTTTCTGACTCTGTTATCTTCTGTCCATGATATGATGGAGTGACATTGTCGATCCATCGAGTAAATCCACACATCCTTGGATTGCCCTGTAAAAATAGTAATGTTATTAAGTTTGGGTAGTAATTTTGTGCAAATCATAGCGGATTTTGTAAATGGTTAGACATACAACGAAATCGTTGTCTACATTGGGGCAGACAAAATATCTCCTTCCAAATGTTTGTTCAGCAAAGGATGTAGCCACCTGCCAGCGATCTCTGCACCCACACTTTGGACGCTCGGACCATTTAGGTAACCCTAATGGATTGTTCCTCCAGTCTAAGCTTGCAATTTCCACCCGACGTTCGTACTCCATCCAAGCATGAATGAACTGTATGGTCGGTTCAGGTTGCGTTATCGGCCCGCCACTTGAAGTAACTCTGACTGTGTCAATCCATTGTACGAATTGACATTTCCTTACATCCTCCTATGTACATCCATTTTGGGATAGTTAAGTTAATGATAGTACTAAGGAGTGATGAAAAGAATAGTTGTAATTACCACGAAATCATCGTCGACAATGTTTGGACACACGAAACACCTTTGTCCTCGAGTTCGGTGCCTTACGGACCTTATGACCTGACAACGGTCACCACAACGACACTCCGGACGCTCACGCCACGTGGGGAGTCCTAGGGGATTTACGTGCCATTCTAAAGCCTCAGCAGCAATTCGACGTTCATGCTCATCCTTCCGCCTTAGTTAGTCCGATCTTGTTTCACTACGTGGGTAAGCACGTGTTCCGTCGTTTTGTGGGTTCTCCATGTCTACCCACTCGATGAAGTTGCACATTGGACGATATGTCTGCGTAAGATGTTACAATTGTGTACGAAGAAGTTAGTTTTTTTATCCATTTGAACTTCGAATAGATGAAGCATACCTGATCAAAGTTCGCGCATTGGAAGAATCTCCTTCCCCGAGTTTGTATCATGAGGGAAGACTTGAGTATGCATCCATCCCCACAATCGCACAAAGGACGGTCACACCATGGTGGAAACCAACCAGCAAAAGGATCGCTTCGCCAGTTGAGACGCTCAAGGAATGGCGCTTCCATTTTCGTGTGTTGTGTGCTAGTGGGAAAGAAGATATGAAGAGGTTGCCTTCAGATTGTCAATTATATAGCGTCGTTTTCACTGCAATATATGTGAACTCAATGAGATACATTATTCATTAGATGTGACAAGACGATCACGCGTGGGCGTGATTCACTTTATGTCAACAGGCAGCGCCGAAAGTTGATAGTGACAACTCGAGCTGCCGCTTTTCATGTGTGCTGTTGTGGACTGTGCGCGCTACTGGATCTGACACTACCGTGAAGCGCCGAAAGTGTGTTGTCGTGAGCATAAGTTGTTCTAGCACCATATGAATGAAAAGAACTATGTAGACGAGACAAACACAAGTAGTACTGCAGTAGTAATAGCAAAAGTAGTACTGCTTTACAAGTTTGTAAGCCAAAAGAAACGGTCACATAAGGACTGAAGAGGTAGAACACTACTGACGAGGCCTCTTACCCCTGTCCCTCCTACCCTGCGCCCTAATGTGCCCCTGGGAGTACGTGAGTCGGTCCGGGGGTACGGCACGGCCAACCCGTCCTGCCTGTACAGGTGTGACCTCTGGCTGCTCCTGAGTGTGCGCCTCTGGAGCTCCTCCAAGCTGAGAGGAGCCTAGTACGTCGTGGTGGTGTGCACCGTGCAAGTCGTCGTCGTAGAACTGGCTAGTAGGACCAGTCCTACCGGCGTGAGACGAAGAGGCCCCAGTACCGAAGATCCCGGCTGCAAATCCTGCTGGACAAGGACCATCAGTTTCATACAGGTATTTAATAGTATTAATAAAAAGTAAAGTACCGTGTGGGCGAGGGATCGACGCTCCGTGAGAGGAAGAGCTGGCGAACGCGCCCGAAGAGGTGGCGAACGCCACTGCGGAGCTCGCGGAAGCGCCGGTCGTGCCTGCGAACGCGCTCGAAGGCAGACGAGGTCCTGCGATGAGGAAACGTGCAGTTAAAACATGGTGACATATTCGTGCAAAAGCTGAAACAAAAATGAACTAATCTCTGGGCTGAACTGTACCGTGCGAAACCGGTGCTGTAGGTCGCACTGCTCCGAAGCTAGGGGCGCTCGAAGGCAAACGAGGTCCTGCGAGGATGGAACATCAAGTTACGACGGGGTGATGTTTTCGTACAAAAACAGAAACAAAACTTAAGAAACCTTTGGGCTGAGCAGTACCGTGCAAAACAGGTGCCGTAGGTCGAGGTCCTGCTCCGACGGTAGGCGCGCGAGGCCGTGGTTGTACCGGACCAGCTGGAGGTACGACGTCCACGGCGCTGTGACAGGAGAAGACGCGCATGACCGCATGCATCTTCTCCTGCATCCGGTCGAAGGTCACCCTCTGCTCAACGTCAGTCAAGTGCAAACCTCTGTTCAACCTCACTTGGACTGCGGTGATATCGGCACTGATATCCCGTGCGGCATCAGCCTATGCAAGATGGAAATAAAAAATTCAGTAATTGTCCTATATTATGCAAGATAAATGAAATAATTGTAAGAACTAATACAAATTCGACGTACCCCCACGAAGTAGTCTCGGTCACGGTGCGTGGGATACGCGTCCGTGACAGCGGCAACGTGCGGCTCTGGGGCGTCTGGAGTGAAGGTCACACGCGCACGAGTGCGAGGAAGGTACCAGCGAAGGTAGTCACGGTAGTTCTCCTCCGTGTGTGGGAAGAGCTCGTTGATCACCTCCTCTGTAGCTAACACCCAGTCGTCAACGTACTGCTGTACACGTGGAGCCCAAAGTGCGCCTGCTAGCTGTCCCCGTCGAGTCAACCTGTGAAGAGAGGTAAATTATATGGCTCGATGAAGTAATTATCATAAAAATTTAGAAATGAACAATCCGAACTCACGAGTGGTCGGCAGGGAGGACGGTCGGCTGCACGTTGCCCGGAAACACCTGCCTAAGTCCGAACTGTCTCATCACACGCTGCGGGCAGTGAGGCTCAACGAAAATGTCGAACACCATCGGCAGGATGGTGAGCCAGTAAGCCTGGTCGCGTGTGCACAAGGACGAAAGTCCTAGCGGTGCTCTCGCAGCGACGGCCTCTTCTGTGTACGGCTCCCAGATGACGTCGCTCGGCTGGAGACGGTCAAACTCGAACACGAAGTCCGGGTAACCTCGTCTCACCTGGACGTGAGCGTAACGACGCTGCAATAAACATGATCGGAATTAGACATGTTATGTGAAGAAAAAAAAGAAGACGACTGATAAACTTGTAACGCAGCGAAGTTGCACTAACCCCACGTCGACACCAGTAAGTCCCCATCGTGGGACCGTCCTCTGGCCACTGCGCGCTGCGACCAACCCCGTAGGGTGCGCTGTCCACCACTGGTCGACCTATGGCAAACCTCTCGGCTGCCCAAAGCTGAAGCAACATAGGGCAGCCAGCGATGATCGCTCCCGCGTCAGTCTTCGTGCACGCCTCACAGAGGGCACGGTACGTGGCTGCTAGCACGGCAGAACCCCAGCTCCACTGCGGCACGTCCTGTGGCTGAGCATCCGCGATGGACCGTGCGTAGTGGACCAGCCCGAAGTCCACAGCGTGCCCGTGGGTGCTAGTGAACATCACCCACCCGAACAACCACAACAGGTACGCCTCAAGGGAGCGTCGGACCGAGTAATCATCAGCGTCAGGGTGCAGAAGGTCCGCCTACAATTAAGAATGAAATGTTAGTACAAAACACTCTGTTGATCGCAAATAAGCATGTATGATAATAACAACTTATTTACTTACAGTGAAC